GCCTTGGGATGGCCGCAGCACTTTATCTTCCTACCGACACACATTTGCAGTGCGTACGACATCCAAGAGATTGCTCTTGTGCGCGGCTGAAACGCATCGTGACCTAGAATTGTGGCTCCAGCAATTTGAACGTGCACTACAGCGCACTAAAAACACGGCCGAGCTCTTGGCAGCAGTTCACTGCGACGAAGGGGGACGGCGCATCGTACCTGAAGATATGCGACGTCCGCTCGAAGTCCTCCCACCTCCTATACCCTGTGCTTTCCAGGAACGACCCGCAGGAGGTTCCGACGTCACTTCGATTCTATCGGCATCGTCCGAGGTGTCATACGGACAGTCATTATCGCGAGGAGACACCGGATGCGCCGAGTGTTACGTCCGCTTTCGGCCCTTAGTGACGCGCCGTGTAGTCTGTGGCTCATGTGCTCGTGCATTCTGTGCTCGTCATTGTCATCGTGGCATTCGTCTACAGCATCTCGGACTACGTGCGACACGGCGCTGCTGCAATCATTGCGCTCAACGACAAGAGTTTATTGGTTATTTACGTGCAACGAAGCGATATATAGAACCAATGGCAAGTCGTGGCATTTCCATGGATGCGCTGGTAGCGCGAAGTGACGTTACTCGGAGGAATCAGGTTGGTCGGGACACTTTGGCACGGACACTTTATAAACTACGCCATGGTCCCATGACTCTAAATCGCACGATAAAAATATTATATCAGACAAGAAAAAAAGCTCATCTTTTTCGGGTAGCTTGTGAACGGCTTCCGTTTTATACGGAAACGTGCGTTGATCGAGTCGAAAATCTGTGGTACCAGCTATTACATCTTGTCCAGTGCTTAGATGCTGAGCCAGCGCCACTTAGTGTGGTTCAACTCTTTTATCTACAGCGTTATATTCGTGCCATCTGTCGTCGATGTCCTCGAATAGCCCTTCAGACCATTTGGCACGTCCAGGCATCTGTAGGTGATGGAAATGACCACAATTTACACCCACATACGCTTCTTGCGCTGTTGGGGTTTATTTATCCAAATACGACTCTTCCAGAAAGCTCAAGGGTGTTTAGCATCTGGAAAGATTTGGTGTTTGCAGATTGTCCAGAACATCAACTTGCTCAGATTTTGGCTGATTTGCGCGAGATCAACTCTCAGATGGAAAGAATGATTTTGCTAGAACCTGATTCGATGATTGAGCGGTGGCTCAATGCCAGAAGTGTGCCCGAATTTAAAGATTGTGCGGCAGAATTAATGGCATCCGGAATTGAATTGTGCGAATTTCAGTCCAATATTTTATACGATTCACTAGACATTGAAACGGATATTCTTGGGGACGAGTCTTCCGGGTCAGCAATCGAGTCGCTCGTGCTGGAACAAGTGAGTTTTGTGCAGTCATTAGCAGCTATAAGTGAACGTTTACGGCATGTTCAACCCATCACCGACCGCAGCAAGTATCTAGCTGGAGAGCTGGAAACGCTTAACAATACGTTGCAATCGTCCGCCCTGTATCCGCTAAGTGCAGCATCTGATGAACTGTATCAAGTGGTGCGCATTCCTCCAACCGAAGGTAAAGTCTTTTCAACCAAAATGCGAGCTCCGACTTTAATTTTTGTCGAGACTGTACCAGTCCGACGTAGTGGATCACTTGGTACCCATGACCCTAAAGCAGATCATTTGCGTCCGTTTGTGTTTAGTTCTCAGCCTCGTAACTCAACGTTCTTTGAGTCAGCAAGATCAGACGACATAGAGACGTCGGCTGTGTGCTCAGGTGGAGACGGCATGTTGTCACCATATATGAAGTCGACACTAATTCCCCCTACGCCTGGTAGCAGTGCAGACGGACCAACCACCTGTTCAGATAATTCCTACTCAGCAAGAGACAAATGCTCCGCTTGCGATCTGGACGAAGATGTTCGTCAACAAGACTCCTTGTTGTCCAGAAATGCTAGACGTCACACGGGTGTGATGCCCCAATCAAGTCGTGGTATCAAGATGGGTACCGGAGCTCGCACGAGACGTCTGGGGGGTGAAAACTTTGTGTACAATAGCAAAGTATTTGGAGAGAGTTGGGAGGACCGCAAAGCTCGAATTCAGCACGAGTCCCCTATGGGTAAATTGCCTGGTTGGAATCTCTTTTCTGTCATTGTAAAGACGAATGACGATTTACGCCAAGAAGTGTTCACTATGCAGCTAATTCACAAGCTGCAGTCTATTTTCGAGTTTGAAGCGCCTCATTTGTGGTTACGCACGTATCGGATAGTAGCTACAGGTGCTAATATCGGATTATTGGAGACAATCACTGATGCCTGCTCTCTGGATCACCTCAAAAAGACTTTTCCTGGTGGTAACTTATTGCAATACTTTCGTAGTGTATACGGAGATCCTTCAAGTGCTGATTTCCTTGCTGCTCAACGTCGTTTTATCGAAAGTATGGCCGCTTACTCACTCGTCAGCTACGTTTTGCTACTTAAGGACCGGCATAATGGCAATATATTGCTAAGCTCTGAAGGTCGTATCATTCACATTGATTTCGGCTTTATTCTTGGCATTGCACCGGGTGGTATCTTTAGTTTAGAAGATGCGCCATTCAAACTGACAAAAGAGATGGTGGATGTAATGGGAGGTCTGTCTTCTCCTGGGTACTTATATTTCCGTCGCTGTCTATATGAGGGCATTTTAGTACTTCAAAAGTACGAAGCGGAGATCGTTGCGTTATTGCAAACTACTGGCCAACACTCGCCATTCCCGTGCTTTCACGGCACTAAACTGACGCGTGTTATCTCCAGTTTACGCTCGCGGCTATGCGTAGGCCTGTCGCGACGAGGGACGCAGATTTGTGTCGACTATTTGTTGCGCAAAAGCTACAATTCGTGGGGAACACGGAAATACGACTCGTTTCAATTTCGTAGCAACAACATTTACATGTAGCCCCCGATTAATTATTTTAAAATTTATTCTTTCCCAGCTTGATTCAGATTTGAAATATTCGCTTATGGCATAAAGCGGCTACATGAAGATTTAACAAAGCACAATAGACACTAATCGAGTAGAGATGATTACGAGCTCCGAAAGTTGACAACGTCTACTTCAGATGAGAGCAGATGGGATCGACACTATCAGACCCCAAATTGACAGTTTTGAATATACTTTTATGAGATGAAATGGAAATAAAGCGCTTAAAATGTCGCAAATTTCATTTGCGAGGATTACATGCTTGTATGACCACGAAACGTAAACAGACGTTAAGCTTTGAATACCAGTTTGTGGAGGTTCCGCGGCATGCGACAGACACTGTAATAGCGGGACGCCAATGACTGCTACAACCTGCACAATATTTTTGAAGACATTTTAACAGCGGCGCGGTGCTCCAAACTGTGGCATTTTTTTTACTTTTCGTGTCTGCTGAATTTAAACACTGTTTCCAAACCACAAAAGTCCATGCGTTAGTGCAATCTTTCTGAAAGTGAATATCTGGGAACTTGTTAAGATCGCATTAGTAAGAAACTAAGTCGAATATGAATTAATTTACCCGGTGTGGTAACGGGCTGGAAGCTGCATAAGCTCTTGAAAATGATCTACTCAGACTACAGTACCCTTTTGGTATCAGTACACATTTTGATGCTGTCATTCGAGACTTGTGCGTGGAAAGCCAATTCATTTAGACAGATCTGGTGGCTCCATGCGCAGAGAAGTGTCTTTCGTTAGCGTAATGCGGTACTCCTCTGGTATAGCACAGAACAGAAATTTAATAGATTATGACGATGGCAATACTTGCGAAGATCCGAAGTTTCTGTTGAAGCGAGTATGTCGATACGGACCTACAAAAGCGTAAAAGTTGACATAAGTTATCGAATCGTGGCAAATTTGCTTTTTACGAAATTATTTACGTCACTATGATCGTCAAGGCTTCACATCCGCGTGATTAAATAAGAGCGATCAGTCAGAATGAAGATAAAGGTTTTGCATCTGCATGCAGATGTAGTGTATTATCGCTAAAGCAATGTTTTACGTAGATGAAATTTCACACCCACGCAGAAAAAACTTTCTTAGTCCAGCATTTTGAAAAGGATCAATTTGAAAGATAAGCAGGCGAAAGGATGTAGCATGATTATACGAAAGTAATAAACTCAGAATTAGATTCATTCTCAAGCCGATAAAAACCGAGATAAGCTACGCCGTCCACTACCAGCCTTCGCTGGTAAAACGCGCAAATATGTGGCGGATCTCAAAGGCGTTTTCAACAGAAATAAAAATAAATCAACCGCGTGAAGCGAATACAACTTTGTCTCGCATATCCAGTGAAGGAAATTGCCAAGGCAACTACAAAGTAGGAAACGATTTAAAATCACTAAAGGTAAATAGTGCCGAAAAAAAGTCTATCAATAATGAACAAGAATATTTTCATCGACGGAGTGATTTTACCCATGCTTACAAAAATTTAAGCTGTAGCTTGTTCTGAGGCAAGCCCAAGGTATTTGAGCTTGTCGGAACCTTAACCAATTCTCTGAAATTGTTTGCCGATAGTTGTTCGGTACTGTCGAAAAACGCGACTTAATTGAAGACAAGACCGGTCGTCACTTGCCTTGTTACTGATGATCCATAATAAAGCACTGAGAGTCTCGGTTAACCATAAAGATAGATTCATACCACCAGTTAGGTCGATGCAAAATGAAGCGTATTCTTATTTTATACTAGAAGATAATGCATTAAATTGGTTGGAAAAAGAGACAGCACATACTTTTAGCTGCGCAACACTCCCTTACAATTTCTCGGCTGCGTAGAACAGCCACGAACAAAGGTTACACTTTGAGTGAGTTAGCCATATATTTATCTCATGTTGTAGTCGAGAACGGAGATTGAGGGAGACGGGAAGTCTATCGCGCTGATGATTTCGTTGCGCAGAACAGAAATTTGTGGGCGTAATCTCGCTAATTTGCGATAAAAACCTGCGTCGAGAAGACGGCTAGTCAAAAATTTTGTGGCGTAAACAATGTTTTGTTCATCGATATATGGTGTGTGTAATCCATTTATTCAAGAGTAGCGCAGAATGAGTCAATTTTCAGAGTCAGACTAGAACATAAATAGTATTTCCAATGTTTAGCTGCATTTTGATTGCAGTACAAAATGCTTAAACATGGGTGAGATCTTTGGGTCTGGGTGTAGATGATTGACTAACTCTTAATGTCATCCACAAAGAGAAAACTGTAATGGGTGATTTGTAAAGAAGATTGGGTGACTACTGAAAGATGGCTAAAAAAGGCTCGACAAAATAGAACGAAGGGATCTAAGGCGACCAATGCCAAAGAGAATTAAGAGTTTTAGGCTGCTGTGCTACAAAATTAAGCGTGACTTGTCAATGTCTGAATCCTTAGTTCTTGAGAGTTGGCATTATGACGTTTGGTCTCACGAAATTTTTGTTGGCGTGTCAACCGAAAGTGTAGAGCCGACATTCGAGTCCGAATAAATCTTACAAGATGTTTTGGCCGCATGACATTTAATTCAAACTGATAGATGGAGTTGCGTTTCTGAAAAGCCGTATCAGAGTAAATTGATAATCAGCAAGCTCCCTGGTCGTGCACTTCAGTGGCGTCGGCGGGTCGAGCTCTAATTGACGTTCTACGTCTTTTTCAACATGTAGAAGTTGCGGAAGCCAAGCGGCCATTAAATGCTTTTGAACATACAGCTCAGGTGGTTGTGCTCATCGAGCATACATCCTGGGTTGTGGTCGGGTATATAGTCTGCAATAAACCTCGCATATTGGAACCCATGGAATTGTGAAGAATAATGCCTCAGTATCACTATCAGGTGCACCACGTCTTCCAGAATAAGGTCCAAAACATTCGGCCTGATTCAGGGCGTGCTCCCACAAGATATAATTATGGGTAGATGTTCAAATTCGCTATTCCTTTCCCATCGTGTGTGCAACCTGTCTGGCTCGTAGAGAATATAAGCTAGGTAAGCACAATGATGACAAGCAAGAATAGAGCCGTCATAGATGAGGCCTACTAGCGTATGGCGTTCGCCAGGAAAACCTTTTCGTTCACATTGAGATGAAGACAGAAATCACGATAGTACAGACGATTTCAAAGTGGAAGTCCGCTGATCTCAAAGTGCTAGTTGTTATCACAAAGATGTACAACCCAACGTGTCAGTCGATATTTGAAAAATCCTTCTTCTCTGCTAAACATAGAAAATTCTGCGCGAGTCACAAGCGAAGCGGAGCCATGAGTTTGTGGCGGCCGCTGGTGACAACATCATGGAGCACCCGCACACGTTTAGTACGCGTGACGTCTGTGAGCGATGAGGTCAAAGGAAATGAGTCTTTGAATTCCCTTCTGAACTAACTTCGCCAGGGTGTGATGCAATTTTTGATATCATTCAAATACGAGAAAATTTGGTTCTCTGTGAGGTCACAGAGGCACTCCATCTTGAATACGACACGATCTACAGTAGGAGGATAATTTTGGAACCAGTGTTACCCGCAGCCTGTCGTACAGTCGCCGAAATGGGTGTCATAGTTTGCGTGTCAGAGCAGCTCCTAGCCGTCGAGCAGACGAATACGTAACTTCGTGCGACGGTGGAGCGCCTTGCGCCGTTGGAATCAAGAATTGCTGTATTCCGTGCTCAGAACAAGTTGCTGGTTCAGCTTTTGGTTGCCGAGAGCCTTTGGGCGCCACCCTCGCACTACGTGGACGTCAAACCGGAAGTATGTTGAAACATTCAAGTCGCATCTGTCAACAAATTTCTTTTTTCATCGAAGAGCAATAGTAGATGCCATGGCTTCCGCATTTATACGAGAGTTTGTTGGAACTGATTGAACAGCCTAGTAGGTAATAATGATGCGTAGACATTTAAGATCAGGTTTCACTGTATCTGAATCAATGTCACGAACTGCATAATGCTTACGGGATGCTGGTGTCTGTCCAAGAATAATATTCCATCAACAAAAGGACAGCATTGGCGATTTTTAATTTGCACCGATTGGTTGACATTTACCACAAAATTGAGGCTATACCCCCCCTGATCAGACGCGCATATTTAACGTGCCGATTTAGGAACAGATGTGGAGAATGTGCAACGCGGGACGAGGTACGCGATATGTCTCCAGTCGTCTCAAATTGGCGTGAGACCGCCATATTGGGCCGGATAACTGACTGGGTCACGGGGAGGTGATATTTGCGGGGGAAGCTGATCAAGACTTATGTTGAAATCAATAACCTCCATGTTCTCAGCAGCCACGAAATACTATTGGGCAGCTTCATCAATGACTGAATATTTAATGGCAGTCGGCTACCCAAACACAGTTAAACTGCACACAGGTGGAGACCGTTCATGGAGGGCGATCGTACGCGACACCAACAACGATTGAGAATCACAATGCAAGGTCAATACGTTCTTGATCCGTATACTTATACCAAGAAGATGCAGCGAGTAGCTGCGGCGTCACGCTTTTTCGCTTGAATGCATCAGATTCACATAATTGCGAATATTTAACACAATTAATGTCCCAGAGTCGACTTGACATGCCAAAATTATTCGTAAATTCTTGTGTTGTGACGAGCAGAGTTGGGTAGTGGAAAAATCATGTCGGAAACATCAAATAACGCATCTCTCCACTATTCATTTGACAGCTGTTGATGATATAGTATTGCTTTTGTCATCTCTACCACCGAGCGTTTGGTTCGTGTTTCAGACAATTCTGCTAAGTGAGTAGGGCGCGCTGGTATGGTAGATGATACGGCATTATGCTATGTAGTACCATCCACCGATTGTGTTTTAGAGCACTACACCTCTGATCGGTGCAGAAGTCGCTGAACCGCTTACTGTAATAGGACTTCGTTATCAGCTCGTATATATCGAAAATACCTGTAGATTAAAACTTCTATCAAGCATTTTTTGCTTTTCTAAGTTCGCGAGCACTTACCGGTCGAGCTTGAGCAGGCAAACTTAGACGTTACACGACCCATCGTCGACGAAGACGACCAAATAGCATGCGATATATTTTTACTTCACACCTATTGAGCTGATCACATTACTGCGAATCATCCCTTATGAAGTGTCCGTTTAATCGGGCTATAAGACGTCTTGGCAGAGTTCTTGACAAGCATTCTCTCTCGCGCAAAGCCTTCAAACGAGCTTTCGGAGAGTGAAAGTAAATGAAATATTGGCCAGAAACATGTCAATGACGTCGCACTACTCCTTGGGCAGGGGCCATTGGCGTGTTGCGCAGTATTTGGTCCCGGAACCAGGTCGATCTCACGAAGCACACCTCGGTCCGGAGGAAGGACTGAAGGCGTGTTTTTTGAGACGCCGTCTTAAAATTCCTTTACCAAATGATAGTACGGACCCAAGGAATACAGTAGGATCGACGATCCACTTCGTGCGTTCAGCACTCTCTATGTGTCCTCCAAGACAGA